ATTTAAAATAATAATATTAATAAAACTAAAACTAAAAATATATTCAAGTTTTTTTTAACATTCGTATTAATCCTTTATAATGATAATGATTTTTGTTTTTTCTAACAAACTCATGATATATTTTTTCTTCTAATATATTTAATTTCTCATAATTTTTTTGAATTCTCGCTTGTTCAATATCAGCTTTTAAATTTTCAGTATCTGAATTATCAACTATCTCTTCTTGAAAATCTTCTTGCAAATCTTCATTAGTTATAATATCTTGTTTGATATTATTTTTATTTAATTCCTCATAATTTCTTTGAATTCTCGCTTGTTCAATATCAGCTTTTAAATTTTCAGTATCTGAATTATTAACTGCTCTAAACTTTCCTTTCTTTTTTTTCTTAGTATAACTTGAATCATCTGATTTTAAAGATGAATCTGAATCATCATTTTTTTTTCTTTTATCTTTTTTAATATTAATTAATGTTTTTGTTGTTTCTTGATTGTAAAAACTTTTGCGATTAAATATAATTTCTTTATATTCTATAGGTTGATTTTTTAATATTAATTTTTTTACAACTCTCGGATATTGAATTATATCTGTATGATTTCCATTAATTATTTCATGATTTGATAATATATACTGTGTAATATCAGATCCAAAATTTTTTCGAAAAAAAATTATTTCTTTTCTTTCATCTTTAAATAATATATTTCCATTGTCAAAATAAACAATCTCCTCAGCTTTTTCAATAGTTATATCTCCACCAAATTCTATATCAAATTTAAGATTTATAAAATCATCATATGATCCTTGATGAAATATTCTACGAACTTTACAACATAAGCATTCTTCATTACAAGGTTGTTTGTTATCATCTCTAAATTTAAAATATTCAATTATAAAATCAAATCGTTCACTTATAGCTGAATAAAATTTTTTATTTGGTACTTTATATTCATTACTATATTGAAAATATGGCATATCTTCATAATAAATATATTGTTCTCTTAGTGATGAATTTGCTGTAAAGACTTGAACTTTTGGAGCATAGTTTATATTTCCTCCTTTATATTGAACAGAAAACTCTCTTCTATCTAGTAAATTTAAAACCCGTTGGAATTTATAATCACTTCCTGAAAATTCATTATAAATTACTACATCATGTTCATTATTTTTATTAAATTTGGGATACCATTTTCCATCTTCATTTGATTTATTATATGCATCTGGAAATAATATTTGAGCTAAATATGATTTACCAGTTCTAGGTGTTCCATAAATATAAATATTGCATGACTTCCAACATCTCAGATATGTTGGTTTTTTATTTTTATTTTGAAAAGCATTATAAATATCTTCAATTCCTTTCGTTGTTGCTGTTAATGTTTTAATCTCGCTATTATATTTAATTAATATTTGATCTTTTGACAAAATTTGATCTTCGATATCTTTAGTTAGTTCTTTCCATTTTTTTGTATGTTGATTTTTTCCCTCTATATTTTTTGTTTTTGGAAGTTCACCAAATTCATAAGGACCAGGATTCTCTATATCATTACATCGAGCAAATAATCGATATTGCCAACAATTTT